CTCGGAGACGGCGTCGGCCCAGTCGGGCACGGCGGTGAGGAGGGAGAGGAGCGGGTTCGGGGGGTTCGGGGATGGTGGGGGATTGGGGAGCGGCTCCGGGAAGGAGCGGGTGAGCTGGCGGTTGCGGCGGCCGGGCCTGGCCGCCAGGCGGAGGTGGTTGTGGACCTGGTGGTGGCGGTGTGGGGTGGTGGCCGGGCTGGGCGGCGGCCGCGCCGCCATTGGCTGTCCCCGGTCGGCGCGAGGAGGGGAGGGGATTCGTCGCTCAGCTCAAGCCATTGCCGGCGGTGGAGCGGAGCGGAGTGGAGTTTGTGTGGCGGAGGGGAGGAGAGGATGCGGCGCGCGCCTCGCCTCGACTCGTTGGCCGACATGTGTTGTGTCCATCTTGCTCTTGGATTCATTTCTCTGAATCGGACGGCTAGGAGAGTGGCCACGTACGTGCATCCAGAAATTTCAGACAAATTTCCAGTCCTACTACAAGAGAAGAGAATGAAATGATTGAGAGAAAGGATTTCGGTACAAATCGAACATCAGTTGTGTTAGACCCCTTGCATCCGATTCAAATCTAGCTTGGGCTCACATGATTTCAGATGAACGGTCAGCTAAACCCATTGTTGGACGATAGGGGGGAGAGGGGGAGCTTTGTGGTAGTTGTACTCCCGCTTGTCAAATTATAGTGCATATTATAAACTTAGACTGAGTTGATATAAGATTTACGCTACCGGATACATAGCATATAAAAATATATCATGTTGGATGATTTTTAATTACTCAATGGGCATAATACTTCCGCGAATTGGCTATTGCCGGAGTCTCGTAAGGAGAAAGGTAAACCACCTTGTAAGAGCATCTCTAGCAGATCCCGCAAAAGTTTGCCATTGATCTGATTGGGAAAAACCAACTGATGTACTTTTGCCACATCCAGTTTGAAGTTAAAGGGATGAGCTCAAAATGATAAGTGGACGAAGTATTCCTTCTATTCGGAATTACTTGTCTCAGAAATTTTAGTTCTATATACAACCATTTCTAAGACAAGTAATTCCGAACAAAGGGAATACAAGATTGAGGACTACTTGCCATACTAAAGTGACACCGACACATCACCTCTCCGTAGGGTAAACTATGTGTCCCTTGATTGCACATTTGTCAAAATGGCTACCTTCTAGCTGTCAAACCATGTTGAAAATTTGTGATATATTGCCATCTCCAGGAAGGAAAAAAAAGCTGCACGAGTAGGACTTCCCATGACGGTCAAGATGGTCGACATGGAGGCGACGGTGACATGTATGTGTATAGAGCAAGGCTGCGAAAACTCACAGGCGTATGATGATGTAAGCACGATGTATTGATCCGGTGCAATATGCACAATATATATGAATACAAGGTGGGGCCTCTACCTCAATCTATACAACAAAATAGAGATGTGGGCCTAATGTACATAAGACAGTATACATGTACAGATTGCATATTCAACACCCTCCCGCAGTCGAAGCGTCGAGGGCGACACAAAGACTGGACTGAAACTCCTAAAAGGTGGAAGTAGGCAGACCCTTGGTCATCACATCAGCAAACTGTTGTGCAGTGGAACATGGGTAACCCGGATATGCCCAAGGGCAACCTGTTTGCGCACAAAGTGGATATTAAGCTCGATGTGTTCCGTCTGACGATGATGAACGGGGTTGGTGGAGAGGTAAACGGCGGATACATTATCACAATATACCACCGTAGCCTGAGAAACATCGTGATGCAACTCCTGAAGAAGTTGGCGTAGCCAAGAGCACTCTGCCACCGCATTGGCCACAACTCGGTACTCTGCCTCCGTTGCTACTTGGACGACCACGATATGAGGGAGGGACCAAGGTAGACACAATAACGAGAAGTGGAACACCGAGTGTCAGGACAGCCGGCCCAATCAGTATCGGAGTAAGCAACCATATCAGTAGAGGGTAACGCGGTCAATGTCAGACCAAGCGCCATAGTACCACGTATATAACAGGGGATCCTCTTCACCGAATTCCAATGAGCATCACGGGGCGCATGCATATGAAGACACACCTGCTGGACAGCATACTGCAGATCGAGACTGGTGAGCGTCAAGTACTGAAGGGCACCGACAATGGAACGGTAGAAGGGAGCATCCGAGGCGAGTGAACCATCTTGAGAGGAGAGATTGGCCTTCGTACCAATAGGCGTAGAGACGGGCTTGCAATTTAGCATGCCAACACGCTCGAGCAGCTCATGAGCGCACCTCTGTTGATGTACGAAGAAACCATCAGGCCGACGGACAACCTCAATCCCGAAAAAATAATGCAAGGGGCCCAAGTCCTTCATAGCAGATTCGTCGCGTAGACGAGCAGTGAGCTGCTGAAGAAGCTCAGCTGAGGAGGCTGTCAGGATGATGTCATCAATGTAGAGAAGAAGGTAGGTTGTCACAATGCCGCGATGATACACGAATAGAGAGGCGTCAGACTGTGTAATACTGAATCCAAGCTGCTGAAGAAAACCAGCAATCCACTGGTACCACGCAAGTGGGGCCTGCTTGAGCCCATACAGAGAGCACGAGAGCAAGCACACATGATTAGGATATGTGGCATCAACGAAACCAGTGGGCTGCTGACAGTAGACCTACTCATCAACATGACCATGCAAGAAAGTGTTGGAGACGTCCATCTGATGCACTGCCCAGGTACGAGACACCGCAAGCTCAAGCACCGTATGAACCTTACCGGGTTTGACAACGGGAGCAAATGTGTCGGTGAAGACCACTCCAGCACACCGTCGAAAACCACAGACGACCCAGCGGGCCTTGTACCGGTCGAGGGTACCGGCAGGTCGAGTCTTATGACGAAAGACCCACTTGTCGCTAATGACGTTAGCGTGCCGAGGTCGGGGGACAAGCTGCCATGTCCGATTGCGCTAAAGAGCGTCAAATTCCTCTTGCATCATAGCGAGCCAGTGAGGATCACGGAGAATGGCTCGAGCTGTGGATGGAAGAGGAGATGGCGAAGACACCTCGGCTGCAAGGAGGTACTCAACAGTGGAGTATCGCGTTCTAGGGCGATGAATGCCAGCCTGAGCATGAGTGGCGATTCACTGAGCCGGGGCAACGAGGGAATCTGGCGGTGTAGATCCCGTCGCCGCCAAAACCGCGTCGTCGAAGGTAGCAGTGGCCGAGCCAGCTGCAGAGGCTGATGAGGTCCCCACCGACTTTGGTGGGGGAGCCATCGGCGCAGCACTAGAGGCGGGTGGCACAACGCCAGAGGTGGAGGCCACGGGCGAGGCCTGCTGGAAATATGCCCTAGAGGCAATAATAAAATGGTTATTATTATATTTCCTTGTTCATGATAATTGTCTATTGTTCATGCTATAATTGTGTTATCCGGAAATCGTAATACATGTGTGAATACATAGACCACAACATGTCCCTAGTGAGCCTCTAGTTGACTAGCTCGTTGATCAATAGATGGTTACGGTTTCCTGACCATGGACATTGGATGTCATTGATAACGGGATCACATCATTTGGAGAATGATGTTATGGACAAGACCCAATCCTAAGCATAGCGCAAGATCGTGTAGTTCGTCTGCTAAAGCTTTTCTAATGTCAACTATCTTTTCCTTAGGCCATGAGATTGTGCAACTCCCGGATACTGTAGGAATACTTTGGGTGTGCCAAACGTCACAACATAACTGGGTGACTATAAAGGTGCACTATGGGTATCTCCGAAAGTGTCTGTTGGGTTGGCACGAATCAAGACTGGGATTTATCACTCCGTATGACGGAGAGGTATCTCTGGGCCCACTCGGTAAGACATCATCGTAATGAGCTCAATGTGACTAAGGGTTGGTCACGGGATGATGTGTTACGGAACGAGTAAAGTGACTTGCCGGTAACGAGATTGAACGAGGTATTGGAATACCGACGATCGAATCTCGGGCAAGTAACGTACCGATTGACAAAGGGAATTGTATACGGGATTACTTGAATCCTCGACATCGTGGTTCATATGATGAGATCATCGTGGAACATGTGGGAGCCAACATGGGTATCCAGATCCCGCTGTTGGTTATTGGCCAGAGAGTTGTTTCGGTCATGTCTGCATGGTTCCCGAACCCGTAGGGTCTACACACTTAAGGTTCGATGACGGTAGGGTTATTAGGAAGACTTGTATGTGATTATCGAATGTTGTTCGGAGTCCCGGATGAGATCCCGGATGTCACGAGGAGTTCTGGAATGGTCTGGAGGTGAAGATTTATATATAGGAAGTTGTCATACGGTCACCAGAAAGGTTCGGGGGCATATCGGTATTGTACCGGGGCCACCGGAGGGGTTCCGGGGTCCACCGGGAGGGGCCACCTCTCTCAGAGGGCCTCATGGGCCGTAGAGGAAAGGGAACCAGCCCCAAGTGGGCTGGGCGCATCCCCCCTTGGGCCCATGTGCCTAGGGTTGGGGGGGGGGAATCCTATAGGGGGCACTCCCCTTGCTTGGGGGGCAAGCCACCCCCCTTGGTCGCCGCCCCCCTTCTAGATCTCATCTAGAGGGGGCTGTCCCCCTTCCTCCTTCCCCTATAAATAGAGGGGCAAGGGGAGGGCTGCACACCACATCCAAGGCGCAGCCCCTCCCCTCCCCAACACCTCTCCTCCGTTAAGAGCTTGGCGAAGCCCTGCCGGAGTACTGCCGCTCCACCACCACCACGCTGTCGTGCTGCTGTTGGAGCTCTCTTCCTCAACCTGTCCCTCCTCCTTGCTGGATCAAGGCGCGGGAGACATCTCCGCTCCGTACGTGTGTTGAATGCGGAGGTGCCGTCCATTCGGCGCTAGGATCATCGGTGATTTGGATCACGACGAGTACGACTCCATCAACCCCGTTCTCTTGAACGCTTCCGCTCGCGATCTACAAGGGTATGTAGATGCACTCCTCTCCCTCTCGTTGCTAGATGACTCCATAGATTGATCTTGGTTATGCGTAGAAAATTTTAAATTTCTGCTACGATCCCCAACAGAGGCATCATGAGCTAGGTCTATGCGTAGTTTCTATGCATGAGTAGAACACAAGTTGTTGTGGGCATCGATTTTGTCAATTTACTTGCCGTTACTAGTCTTATCTTGATTCGGCGGCATCGTGGGATGAAGCGGCCCGGACCGACCTTACACGTACGCTTACGTGAGACTGGTTCCACCGACTGACATGCACTAGTTGCATAAGGTGGCTAGCGGGTGTCT